GACATGATCCTGAGCAAGAACCCCGTCAAATGTCAGGAGATTGCCAGAGACACTGTGGACATCGAAATGGGCTTGTGCGACGGTTTGTTGACCAGCTTCGATTCCTTCTGGTTCTCCTTCTTCATTCTGGGGACTGTGGGTGGGATGAGCATTCCTGTGTTCATTGCCGCGGCCAACGTGCTCGCTGATAAGGACGCCAGTCGACCCAAGGGTAGCGGCGCTTCCAAGAAGAAGAAGGACGGCAAAGCTTTCGACACCGGCAAGCCCAAGGAGAAAGGAAAAGGGAAAGGCAAAGACGACGTGGAGTCTGGCCAGATCAAATGGTCGGCCCCCAAGGCAGAGCCTGCGGCGGGAGACCATTTCCAGGTGTCCAAGACGGCCGCGCTGAGTCCCTCAGAGGCGGAGATTCCTTCGCCCGACTCTGGGCGCATGCCCGATTCTGGACGAATTTATCCAGACCCGCATTCCAACAACCTGCCTCCAAACTACGCCGAGAAACAGCATCTCCTTCCCCATCCCGTTGGCGGATCTCCTCGCACTAGCCCTCGGGGCTCTCAGCGTGCGGTTCATCCCACCGCGCAACCGTATGGCGGCGGTTCTCCCGCGCAGAATCGCATGTCGGCTCAGCAGCCCTATCCTCCCGTCTCGCCCGTGGATGATATTCAGGAAATGAGGCCTAGCTGGCTTGGCGGCCCTCCCGCCGACGTCAGCGGTGGCGGCGGTGGTGGACACGGGGTTGACACTTCGTACAGCCCGCGATCCCGCCATCCTCACCAGCCCATTTCCCCTGCAGGCAGTTACCATGACGGGCCGCCCGCCCGGGACAGTGTCCCGCACTCTCGACGGATGTCGGGCGCGCAGCACCCAGAATACGAGCACGTTGTCAGTGAGTTCTCCAAACGCGTGAGCCATATGCCACCACCGCAAAACTACGCGGAGGATGACGGATATTCTGCGGGTCACCACACCGCGCCGCAGCCTTACTATGGTCAGCAGCAGCCATCGTACACAGAGTATAGTGACCCTCAGTATCACGGGCAGCAGAGCCACTACGACAACAACGACCATGGCCGTTACCAGTGATCGGTTAGAATAAGTGTCGTCTGTGTGATTAGTGCATTCATGAGTAGAAGACCATGAGCAGAACAGGATTTGGTATGCGTAGGAGGATTTTGGTGCTTCTGTCCAACTATGAAATGAGAAAAATAAGAATGAAGTTTTGGTTCACTGAAATCCAATTTGGGCAGTCATGGGTGCCTGCAGAAGTATCAGGCCGAGATGTATTGGCAAACCTCAAACTACCGCACCTGAACCTCACGGGTTCTGAAAGCGCTGCTAATGAAACTGACAATTGCACCTCGATGTCTTTGCGCAGTTGAACCAGGGCCACACCATGATTGACCTATTCGCGGCTCTCAAAACGCCCGGTACTGTACCCATGTCGACGGCGACTCCAAAGCCCTGTGGTGCAATGCGTTCATTAGGACTTGGGTTCAACCTCAGGTTCAAGCGGAGTTTCAATCGGAGCTCAACCGGAGGGGCCGTTGATGCCTGTTGTCGCACACCGCTCATTTAACTCCGCCCTAAATTCCTCTCTTGCTCAGTCTATAAATAGCCGACCCATCTTCGATCTCCTATGGTGTTTTACTACCATCAGGCTCCCCCACCAATCAGGACACGAAGTTCCAACTGCGAGGTAAAAATATATAGACGAAATGAAAAATACCGGTGAAGAAACGATCGTGATCAAAAACAGTAAAGAGAACTAAAGACAGACATCCACAAAGGAGAACACAGACAAAACAAAAGTCCAGTCACTCTAACAACTGCATAGACAAAGGAAAAGTGAGAGGAAAACACCGAATATCAGCCCCGCGCACTGGAGATTGATTGTCCCTTTTTTGTTCTGTGGTAAACCCAACACAGACGAGAGAGATGTGATGGAAGGAGAGAGGTGTGAGATAACGAGGTGGAGCGTAGCATTTCTGATCGGGATATTGATCACATATCATTCTCGTACTCGTCCAATGGGTGATCCGCAAGTCCCAAATCCGCCAGATCAAAGTGCTGCTGAGTGGGTTGCCCTTGCTGCTGCTGTTGCTGCTGACCTTGACTCTGACCGTGACCGTGGCCCTGTCCATGTTGTCCCATCTGTTGTCCCGGGTGCTGCTGCTGCAACTGCATTTGCTGCATCTGCAATTGCATCTGCTGAACCTGCGCCAAATTTGGCATTTCGACCGAGGTACCAAGAGGCTGCGAGAGGCCAAGCTCCTGTTCAGGGATGCCGGTGCGGTCGAGGACGGCTCTCAGAGCCGTGTCGAGCTCGTGGTGGCGGTCAACGAGGAGCATTGCGAAATGCTGGATCTGGCGAATGTAGTCGACTGAGCGGCGCAGAATCACGCCCTTGTTGGGCCGGTTGGCAAGAAGGGACGCGGAAGAGGAGGGCGCTGCTTGAGATGATGATGTGGGTGTTGTGCCTGCTGTTGGTGTCGTAGAAGGGCCACCGGTGGTGCTGTTGGTGGTGGATGCGGCGGGATCGTCGGTTGGAAGGAAATCGGGAAGGAGCGTAGCAAGCTCCTGAATTTTTTCGTTAATGTTATCGCGGCGGCGGCGTTCGACAGCGTTGTGAGATTCGCGTCGGCGACGGCGTTTTTCCGTAATCACATCCATTCTGAGAGACAGCAACGGAAAACCAGTCAGCACTTGCACCATGAGACATCTGGAACGATTTTCTCGGTCAAACTCACGGCTTGAGGTTAGGGTCATCCAAGTCGCCGCCCGATCCAGCCCCGCCCGGACCACCAGGGCCTCCGTAAGCGCTGTAGGAGCTGGGCTGCGATCCCATCATCTTGGACTGATCCATGACACCGAAGCCGTTGGTTGCGTGAACAGGCATAGACACCGAGTAGAAACCGTGCGCCGGCATCTGCATGCCAGGCGTTCCTATCAAACCGCAAAAGAAACCACAATATGCAATCAATACGCAATTGCTCTAGAGAGAACAAACGGCAACTGCCCAACAACTACTATCGACTTTTCGTAGATGGAAATCTGATTTGTATTCCATAGCCGGAAAAATCCTTACCATATGGCGTGCTGTGCATAGAATTCGACAAACTCCCCGAACCATGATTACTGAACGTCGAGCTCCTTGGTATAAAGTCCAGGTCATCTGGCGGGGAGTTCGACATCGGGGACATGATGGAAGCCGGGTCGGGATGGTGGGGGTGATGGGGATGGTGTTGCGGTGCCCCAGCATGTGGGTGGCCATGCATGATAGCGCTCGGGTCGCCCATTTCGAGTCCTGCGCCAATGTCATAATCGATGTTGAGATATGCCTCGTTCAGAGCGTCCCCGAGGGCCCCGACGGTAGGGTCTTCCTGCTTCACGATCGTCTGCTGCGGTTGTGACGAGTATGGGTGGTGTTGCTGTGGCGACACGCCGAGGAGCTGCGGGTCGATAGTATGGATCTGCTGCTTGTGCAGCTGATGGCTGTGGTACGAGGTTGGGTTTGCCAGACGGCCATGGTGTTGCTGTTGCTGTTGCTGTTGTTGTGAGCCCCCATAGTAGCCGGAATTTGCGTCGAACGGCTGGTGGGAAATTATCATTGCTGGATGCGTATCCCGAGCCGGAGGGGTTTGTTGGTGATGCAACTGCTGCTGTTGCTGCTGCTGGGCACGCGAGTTGAAGTTTTGCGGCGAGGACGAAGGCCGCTGTATGGGGATCATTGTGAGAGTTTTCTAGCTGAGGCCTAGCGCTGTAAAAGCTGAGCCGCAGGTTGGGGTTCGAAGTGTGAAATTGAGCGGTGCGAAATGTCCAGGGCGGAAAGAGACAACAGGCGCGCGCGTTGAGTGAACGGTAACTTTGCAGGTAAAGTCGATCAACAAAATCAATCGCCCTCGACTTCTTTCAGAGCAGTAGCGGGAATGAAGATTCAACGAAGTTTAGGTCCTTGTGGGTAAGGACGGTGTTCGGTAGAACGTTTGAAGCGAGGGCCCGAGGAGACAGAAGACAACGACTGCGAAACAAAGTTGTTGTGTTGTAACTCGTGTGTTACGCCACTCCCACTGTCTGTGCCACAACCACCTCTTTTACTCGATCGTCGTTGCAAGATGGGATGACCGCTTCCGCTGCCGCTTAGCAGAACGCTTTTGAGTTGGATTTTTGTTAAACGTTCGACAAGCTGATAAGTGCGACGTCCCGCGAACAGAAGAATGGGACAAGAGGAGAGAGCTGCTATATTTTGCAGAGTTGACAAGACTGGGTGTTGGTTTTTGCGAGTTTGAAGGAAGGTGCCAGTAGTGACAAGGTTCCGGGGAAATATTCCGAGTACTCTTCGAATGTGAAAAAACAAATAAAAACAAGTATCTCGTAGCACACACAGAGTATCGATACAGGGCAAGCGTGATGTTTGGTGTGATTTCTTTATTTACTACAGCTGACCGCCAGGAGTGACCATTCATAGTGTCATCGTATACTTGTGCTTAATAAACTCTATCGCTTGTCTTGCTTATGTAATGCGCGACACGAAAAGCATATCTATATTTGCGGGTGCTATTTCGACTTTGCGTTGTCAAACGTTCTTTCGTGTGCGACGTTTTGAGGTCATCGCTCATGATTGAAACCAACAATTAAGCACAACTCTGGCCTAGGCCACTAGTCGACCTCTATAGACAAGAAGCCAACGATGTCAGGCTTAGTTCATCCGCTAAATCGCGTCTCAATTGTAGCACCGTTGAATATGTGGGGGAGGACAGAAGCAGTACACGTTACAAAAGTACTTTCCAGAGTAAAATCGATAACCCTTTCTAGTGATGCATGTCTTCAGGCGTAGGAGCAGATGACAAGAGGCATGCGTAATCATTCAAATGTAGTCAGTGATTTAGTCAAAGTAGTCAAAAAAGTTAGGTTGTGAAACCCCCCATGTTATACATGGTAGGCCAATGGTCAAACTAAATTATTAATTTGAATCAACCTATGGATTTTTTGGAAAATAGAAGGCCTTCTTAGCTAAGTGGTATAGCGACAGCCTCGTAAGCTGTAGGTCGCGTGTTCGATCCTCGCAGAAGGCAGTAATTCTTTTTTGCGATCCCCACCCCCTCAATTATTTTCTCCGCGACTTTCAAGGGTTGGGCGATAGGCAAGAATGTTCCAGAGAAGTGGCCGGATACTTGGACTCCCCGAGTCCAGGCGCAAATTCATAAAGTTATAAGTGTAATTTCCTTTCGTTAAGAGACAAATAGGAGAAGCGAGCAACGGGTAGTACTGTGGATGTAGGCGCAGAAGCACTATAACCGTTTCTTTTCGGTCAAGCTGATGGTGGGTTCCCGGACGCCATACATTTCCAGCACTCTTATTTCGACGCCCTTGAGTGCGCTCTCCCACTGGGCGAGTTCCAAAAACTCCTTCTCGCTCTTGAACATGTTGAGAACTTCCGCGGGCTGCTGCATGGGCTGTGTCGCGCCCTGACCGGGCATCATCCCGCCCATCATGTTCATTTGGTTCATGTCGGTTCCGGCAGCTGCACCAAAGGTTAAACAATGTCAGGGGGGCGACGTAGAAGAATGATGACGGGGTTGAGAATCATGTACCATTGTCTTGTCCCAGAATGAGGGTGAAGATGCTCCGGAGACCAAACAGGTTGAGGAAGTACCACGACAAACTGGACACCCACGTCACGTCCATATCAGCAGTTTCGATTCCGCGCTGCAGCATGGCTTTGAAGCGCAGCGTCAACGGGAACGGCAATTTAACTAGATTCAAAAAGAAACAACCACTCAGCATTAGCTCCCATTGTCCGCAATCACGCGAAAAAGCTCATTCGAAACGCCAAACTCACTCAGCACGAATCCAGAAAAGAAAAAGGTGATCCAACTCATGATGAGGGTTTGCGGGACGATCATCGCCATGTTCTTCTTCAACATCTCCATCATCGCTTCCATGCCCGCCGGATCCGACATTGGGTTCGCGGGCGTTGCGGACGCGTTCGGGTTCTTTAGATAGGTTCCCTTTTCGAACGCGGCTGCGAGGTACCGTACTCGCGCCTGGAAGGCCTCGTACGTGAGCACGGAGCCGGCTGGGGAGCGGAGCGTCCGCGCACGCATCAAGGCCGCGCTAGTGACAAGCAAGAATACCTCGGCATGAATACGTCGTGTTGAGATTCGCGGTAGAAATTACGGTCGCCCATGTCTGTACCTTTCCCTAACCCCTTTGAAATTCCCCTTTGGCACTGAAGTGAGAAGCTGTGTGGCGTAGTGTCGCAGCACCCCAACCAGCACCATGACAAGCATGATTGGGATGAGGACCCAGTCCCGGATGGCTGGATCCAAGAATATTTGTTGTCTGTAAACATCATGACAACAGGTGAGCTTAACTGCAGGCAGCCGCTGGAGCCTTCCACGAGATACTCACGAATCTTGGGTCATGCTATTGTTGTAAGGGCCCGGTTAGACGGCAATTGAGTGTAAAAAAGTGTTCTGTTTGGCGGATGTCGGGAAGGGAAACAATGTGCGGTGGCTGGCTGATTGATTTTACACGCGGCTGCCGCAGCCGTCGCCGCAGACCGAAGCGACCAGACGATAACCTGAATCTCTCGCCCTTCATTATCCCTCGCAGCTGTGATACTCCCGGGCCACAACATCTTGGAACCCTCATCTGCCGCTCCCCCGCTCGCGTCACCCATGTCTGTGCCGTTCACCCAGTGGACAATGTCTGTTCCCAGTCAACTTCCCGCCGCTATCGATGTCTACGACATTGTGCTCGATAAACCAGAGGTGGTGCTCGAGGACGACGAGACTGCCTCTGGTCCGTTCTCGAAGCTCGAGGGCGTGGTGAGACTCCATTTGAATGAGCCGCTGCCAGGTGTCCGCGCGATATCCTTCCGATTCGTGGCGGGTGCTGTGGCAAAGTTTGATGATCCGGAGGTATATGTGACAGCGCATGGAGAAGCGAATGCAGACTGCTGCTCGAGGTGCTAATCTATCCATCGCGTCCATTTCATTGTATATCAAAATAGTACAACGCGAATCTGCGTGGGCCGGAACGTCTGTTCGACCGCACAATAAATCTCTGGGATGTTGAAGATCCCGAGAACACATCTCGCATTCTGCCCGTCGACTACCACGAATTCCGCTTTGCGCTCAAAATCCCCGGCCATATGCCCCCTTCGTTGCGCTACCCGCGCGGCCAGGTGCAATACATGCTCGTCGCCGCGATCGAATGGGAGAACACCATTTGCGGCCTCAACCTGCCATTCTGGTCTTGGAGTCCCATAACAACCAAAAAGGAGGTACCCGTTCGCAAGATCCCGGGCAAGATCGAGTGCGTCATCAAGAAGTTGAAGGATATGGAGACGGATGAGAAAAGGGTGCGAGTGCTGCAGGATGGGGAGGAAACGCTGGCCGTGCCTTCGAGCACCGGGAAGACGGTGTGGTCTCCGGTGCCGGAAGTCGAGATCTCGATACCGACGCGGCATCCAACCACCGGGAACGTTGTTCCTGTCATGATCGACACGACTGACAACGCGACCATCACATCGTTCAAATGGACCCTGCGACAACACGCTTCGTTCTCATACATGTGAGTGACCAGTGCGAGGAGCTTTGCATCGGTGGTACCGCGACCGGTTGTCCGGAGATTGACTATGACATGCATGGTTCATAGGTATAACATCACTCTGCGCGGACCTGTCGATTCCCCTCACAATGCCATCAGTCCCAGAAAACGCGAGGAAAAGTTTATCCTCAAGAACACGCACGTGTACCGCCCTGAAACCGCGGAAGAGAAGTCGTCATCTCACCACGGTCTTCTCATTCCGCTTCTCAATGACAACCCGCTTCCGGAAGCGGAACTTATTGAAGACTTGGATGTAAGTCTGTTGTTTGAAAAGGCGCACCAAAGCGACTCTTGTTTCTGACCGCCTTTCTTTACTTCTGTTGCATTCCATTAGACAACTGTCATGACTATCCGCCACTACGTCAAGCTGCAAGTTACGTACCGCCTCAACACCACCCCCACCGCATCTGGCAGCGCTGCCGACGGGAAGGACGACATTGAAGCCGAGATTGAGCTTCCCATCGTACTTTACGTTTTACCATCATCAGCGCCATCTGATGCTCAAAGCGACAATGCGATCGAAGCACCCATTGCCGCTGCTGCCCAACCGGTAGATCTGCCACCGACGTCGGAAGAACCGCCTGCGTATGTCGAGACCAGCTCCCCGCCCATGTACGAGGAGGAAGGTGTCAGACGCCGGAGAGCTTAGATTTGAAGCAAAAAGTTAAAGACACATCGTTCCATCAGTCATCTATATCGAATTTTCTGGCATAAAGCACAGTCACACCGACCGACTCAATCACACACGCACATACTGCACAGTGTACGCTGATGAAAACGGACGGGCAAACAACATTGTGTAGCACACGCTACTATACTGATTTATACTGTAGTAAGTTTTGGGGGTGTTCCATATATACATAAATCTGTAAACTGAAGAAAATCTGGTGGGGAGTTTGGGCTAAACTAAGGGAAGACAAGAACTAGATAATAGGGCAGAAGGGGCAAATTGTACATGGTTTGTAACACGTGGGGGCGGATACTATACACTATCCACAATGACTTTATCTGCATCTCAATATATATATGCCAACAGGGTTTTGGAAAAACCCCATGCTGCGCAATGATGCCGGTGGTGGCCGGAGGGCGTGGAGCGGGTATGAAGTGTTTGCCACACGGCATGGGCAGAGTCCGATACTGTTTCTCGACTAATGGTCAAAAGGGCCACCCCTCACTGGCAAGCACACACTGCGTCGCAACTCGGCTTCCCGCTGCAGCTGACAGAGTTGTGACTGTCTGCCAGTAATGGGGGAACCAGTGCGTTCCGGCGGTGGAGCGTTTGCGGGGGTAGGGTGGCGGCTGCTTCGACGGGCAGGACGACGGCGGGCGTCCAGACGGGGAGTGCCGGTGGCGGCGGGGGTGGTGCGAGCTGGCGGGTCCGGATCGGCATGTGGGTAGTGAAATGTTTGACCTTGAGTGAGGGGGTGCGGGGAAGAATGCAGTTGTGAAGCTTTTGATTATGGTCCCGTAAGTGAAAAGAAACAGAAGACGGATTTGGATTTTACTGTATGCACGAAGGAACCTAAACCAAGTACGTATATCACGCAGATACTTCAATGACGGCGCTAAATAGATGTCCTCTGCGGGGGACACACAGTCACTTCTGCAGTGGGGTGACCATCCTCTCCAGAATGGGAATGACTGATCCGTCTCATATAGCTTTTGCATTTTTACTTTCTGGCCCTTAAAATCAAACAAAACAAAAAAAACATGTTGGGCAACGGGAAAAAAGCCATCGACTGCTGAGCCTTTTGCTTTTTTGCATTTTGCCTTCCCAAATGAAATACGCAGGCAACACGTGAGGTCCAGTGACTGGCGGTTTGGCTATTCAAGGGCCTAACCGCGCGCGTACCGAGAGTCTGGTCGCGCGTCGTTCATCACGAATTAGCGCACTGTACCAATCGCTGCACGTGGAGATGGGTCCGTCCCGAGTTCCAACTTTGCATTCTGCCAGAGATCAATGATCAGCAAGTCTGCAGCAAAGGACAAAAGTGCGAGGACAACTTTTTGATTGACTAAGTGTATACATAATGTGGATGGGCATAAACAACGAAATTACTAAACCCGAGGAGAACCAGCCTCAATATGGGGAGCGGGGAGGAGGGGAGACTAGGATGAGTCTAAAGACAGAATTGATTTCTACATATCGAGAGCAGCGTGTGATTTGGACAAAATTGGGGCGGACTAGGGTATATCTACTTTTGCCAAGTTATGAGAAAGCGCCAGACGGTGAATCTAGAATTTAACCGCGACGGCAGTTTCCGGCGGCGAGGTCGGCAGCGTTGAGCTGCTTGGCATCGGTGAAAGTGAACCATTTGGTGGTGGGGACGCCCTTGAAAGCAGCGGCGAAGCGGGCGGGGGCGATTTCACCCTTCTCCTCCTCAGCATCGACTCCGGTCACGAGACGAATGGCGATGCAGAGGATGTTGTTGGGGTTGGAGCGGGCAATTTCTCCGTA